CGGCCTCCCACGTCCCCAGCTGCGCTAATCCACGGCCGAGAGCCGCGCGCCAGGCGAGAGCAAGCGATGGCCGAGCCGCCGCGCCTGCCGGCGGAGCCCACTCGGCGGCCGCCACTGCCCCCTTCAGGCGGGCCCTGAGCCGTGAGGTGCAGGGCGAAGATTTCCACTCAGAAACTGAGTTGTCTGAGATGTTTAGGCTCTTAGGGAGAAAAAAAAAAAAAAAACAAACAAACAAACAAAAAAACGTATCCTAGAAAGTAAATTAATATTTGCATTCCGGACGAACGTTCCCACTCTGAGCGCTCAGTGAATGCTTCTAGAATAACTGAACCACACATCTAATAAAGGAGTTTCAGTGAATATTAGCGACGGCACTAAGAAGAAGACAAGATGCCTGTGCCGGGGGCTGTCCGCTCCCTTTCGTCTTCCACCCGCTGGAACCTTCTGGCAAGAAGGGGAGAAGAATGACAAGAGCAAAGTAAGGAAGGTGTTGTGCCTGACAAATGAAGAGGCTAAGGGTGGTGTGGGAAGAGAGGCATCAGGGCGGGAGAGTTTCCAGTAAAATACGTCTGCAGGGAGAGCTGGCATTTTGCATATGTCCCTTCTGCTCCCTGAGCCTCACGTAGTGCGGGGAATGAGAGTTTACACTTCCGAGTCAGGCTACTGAGTTCGAATTCGCTTTCTGACACTACCTAGCTTATGACCTTGAGCAAGTCACTCACTGGACCTCCCTCCCTCCTAGGGTAGCTGTGGGGATTCGATAATCATGTAATCCCTACTTTACAGATGGGGAACATGAAACAGAGGGATTCATATATGGCGAGTACTATACATGGGGAGCACGTCAAGTGTTTGTTGCTGCTGTCGCTAATGTTACTGCTGTTTGGGAAAGCAAAAACCCCGTTCTCCTTCATAAAGAGAATGGGGTCCTAAAACCACAATCCCAGGGCGTAGCACCAGAAAGGACCCTCATGTTCACACCCCTACTCCTAATCTGAGATCAGTGACCATCTGTGTCCATTCATCTCTGTCTCACTGTATTTATATTATCTTTAAGATACGTAGATTCAAAAAAGAAAACTCACTTCCCGAGATACTAATCAGCTCCCATCTCCAAAGTTGCCTTGTTTCACATCTTCTTTTCCTTCAGTGTATAATTTGCCCCAAGTTTTTTCTTCTCATAGTCCCCTTTTATTAAGTCTAGCCTAATGATTCCTTTAAAGACACCTCTAACTGGGATTCAGCGTTCATATGTCATTAATTTCGGCCTGTCCTCTGACCCTTTTCAAGCAAATCTGGGAAACGGGCCAGAAGACTTTACAAGTATTGTGAGGAAGGGCTGTGGTATTCTAAGCATCTTGCACAAAACCACCAACCCAGTATACCAGAAGTACTCCCACAGTGTTTATCCCTAATGCAAAAACCTTTATTCAATTCTGTAAGCAAATTCTGAATTACAACATTTTTAGTTGAAAACTCTGAGTTAGGATCCTTCTTACAGTAAGCAAGAGAGGTCATTGAATTTCATCGTCAACAATTTATGTGGTCAGAAACATGAAGTCGACATTCACGGAACACCTACAATACAATTGATTTTGTTTGTTAACTGTGAGAAGCTAACCTACCATATTTAGGATAAGTACGTTTAATTTCACCCTTACCATTCATCTGGTAGTTACTTTTTTAGGTTAAAGCGTTCACTAAAGTAACACGAAACTTGCAATGCTTCAGGTTTTGAGACAGAGAGACTAAAAATCTATTTCAGGTGTGAAAATTCCAGGACTTTGAGGTGATGGCTTTTAAAGACTGGTTGGGCTGCTCCTTAGAAACAGTAGTTGAGGAACTACTGGATGTCAGAGGTTGTTTGCAGTTCCAGAACAAACAAGCATTCAGTTGGCAGGAGTCCGATGGGAGGCCAGGCATCAGGCTTGGTGAAGGAGAGAAACGGGCTATCCATGGTGCCTGGCTCTGTGGCTCCTGGGTGACAGGAAAAGTTCCTTAGGGTCTTGGATATTTAGAAAATGTGCTCAAGTATTAGAAAATTATAACTCTGCACTCAGGGAAGTAGATACAGCAACACATTTTTAAAAGAGTTCTCTGGAAAATGGAGACTATTCATAATTTAGTTTACACAATCATTTTTATAACCATCAACTATTTCTATTTCCTTGTGCGTTTGTAAAAACACATCATTCCGGGACACTAAATAACTCCACACGACCGTATCTTCACACTTCTTCCTTTGGCCTGTGAGGCCTTATGTGGTGGCCTGGCCCTTGCTTCTCTTTCCATTCCTCTCTTCAACTAGAGTGAAACCACAGTGGTTTCTTTGCTATTTCTGGAACAAGCCAAGCACATTTGTGCCTCAGATTTATTTCTTTAGAGCAGTTTTAGGTTCATAGCAAAATTGAGCAGAAGGCACAAGAGATTTTCCATATAGCCCCTCCTTACTGTCAACATCTCCAATCAGAGGGGTGCATTGGTTTCCATCGATAAACCCACACTACCACACCTTTATCCCTCAAAGCGCATAGTTTACGTTAGGATTCACTCTCGGTGTTGTATATTTTATGGGCTTGGACAAATGTATAATGACATGTATCTACATCTATGATTGTAGTAGCGTACAGAGTAGTTTCACTGCCCTAAAAATCCTCTGTGCTCTGCCTGTTCATCTCTGCTTCCCTCCTAACCCCTGGCAAACACTGATCCTTTTAATGTCTCCATAGTTTTGCCTTTTCCAGGGTGTTATATAGTTGGAATCATACAGTATGCAGCCTTTGTAGATGGGCTTCTTTCACTTGGTAATATGCATTTAAGCCTCCTCCATGTATTTTCATAGCTTGATAGCTCATTTATTCTTAGCCCTAATAATATTCCATTGTCTGTATGTATCACAGTTTATTTATTATTTGTCTAACTGAACAATATCTTGGTTGTTCCTAGAATGGGGCAATTATGAATAAGCTGCTATAAACACTCCAGTGCAGGTTTTTGTGTGGATATAAGTTTTAAACTCCTTTGGGTAAATGTCAAGGAATACAATTACTGGATTGCATGGTAAGAGTATGTTTAGTTTTGTAAGAAACTGCCAACTTCCAAAGTGACTGTACCATTTTGCATTACCACCAGCAATGGATCAGAATGCCTTGTCAGCATTTGGTATTGTCAGTGTTCTGGATTTTGGCTATTCTGATAAGCGGGTAGTGGCACCTCATTTTAATTTGCATTTCCCTGATGACATATGATGTAGGACATCTTATTTGCCATCCGTGTATCTTTTTTATCATTAATTTTTTTTAATTTTAGAGAGAGAGAGTGTGTGTGTGAATGGGGGAGGGGAGCAGAGGGAAAGAAAGAGAGAGAGAGAGAGAGGGAGAGAGAGAGAGAGGGAGAATCTTAAACAGGTTCCACGTTCAGCACGGAACCAGATGCGGAGCTTGATCTCCCTACCATGAGATCACGACCTGAGCTGAAATCAAGAGTCAGTCACTAAACTGACTGAGCCACCCAGGTGTCCCTGTATGTCTTCCTCAGTGAGGTAGTCTGTTAAGATTTTTGGCCCATTTTTAAATTGAGTTGTTTGCTTCCTTATTATTGACTTTTAAGAATATTTTGTACATTTTGGAAAAAAAAGAAATTGTGTACATTTTGGAAAATAATCCTTTATCAGATGTCTTTTGTAAATATTGCTGTCAGTCTGTGACTTGTCTTCTCATTCTCTTGATGTTGTCTTTTACAAAGCAGAAGTTTTTAATTTTAATGTAGTCCAGCTTATCAATTATTTATTTCATGGATAGTGCTTTGGAATTATAACTAAAAAGTCATTGCCATACCCAACATCATTTAGGTTTTCTTGTTATCTTCTAGGAGTTTTATAATTTTGCATTTCATATTGAAGTCTCTGATCCATTTTGAGTTAATTTTTGTGGAAGGTATAAGGTCTGTGTCTAGACTGATTGATTGATTTTTGCATGCAGATGCCCAGCTGCTCCAGCACCATTTGTCAAAAAGACTATCTGTGCCTCTTTGTGTTGCCTTTCCTCCTTTGTCAAAGATCAGTTGACTATATTTGTGTGAATCTATTTCTGGGCTCTATATTCTGTCCCACTGATCCCTCTATTCTTCCACCGGTACCACACTGTCTTGATTACTTCAGCGTTAGAGTTAAGACTTACAGGTGCCTGGGTGGCTCAGTCGGTTAAGCGTCCGACTCTTGGTTTTGGCTCAGATCGTGATCTCACATTTTGGAAGTTCAAGCCCCATATCAGGCTCGAGCTGACAGTGTGGAGCCTGCGTGGGATTCTCTCTCTCCCTCTCTTTCTGTCCCTCCCCTGCTCACTCTCTCTGTCTGTCTCAGAATGAATAAATTTTTAAAACATTATAGAGTAAGACTTAAAATTGAGTAGTGTCAGCCCTCTTTGTTCTTCTACTTCAGTATTGTCTTGGCCATTCTGGGTCTCTTGCCTCTCCAGGTAAGCTTTATAATCAGTTTGTTGATAGCTACAAAATAATGCTGGGATTTTGATTGGGATCACATTGAATCTACAGATCAAGTTGGAAGGAGATGACATCTTGAATCTTCCTATCCAAGAACATGGAATATCTCTCCTTTTACTTAGTGCTTTGATTTCTTTCGTCAGAGTTTTGGTTTCTTCTCATATAGATCTTTTACATATTTTGTCAGATTTATACCGAAGTGTTTCATTTTCAGAGGGTGCTAAGGTGAGTGGTATTGTGCTTTTAATTCCACTTGTTCATTGCTAGTATGTGTAGGAAAACAATTGGCTTCTGTATATTAACTGTGCATCCTGCAACCTTGCTGTAATCACTTTTGAGCTCTAGGGGTGGGAGGAGGGTTTAGTTGATTCTCTTGGGGATTTCTACATAGCCAATCATGTCATCTGCACACAAAGAGAGTTTTATTTCTTCCCAATGTGTATGCCTTTTATTTCTTGGTTTTCTTTATTGCATTAGCTAGGACTTCCAATATAATGTCGAAAAGCATTGATTCCATTTTCTCTGCTTTCTTACATATCAGTTAAACTTCTTTTTTAGTAGTTGGCCTAGAGTTTGCAATACGCATTACAAGTAATCCAAGTCTGCTTTCAGTTAACACTATACTGCTTCACAGGTAGTATGAGTACCCTCTAATAACAAAATAATACAAATTCTTCTGGCCCCTTGTAGCATTGATATCATTTATTTTATGTATAAAATATGTATAAGCACACATAAGTGTGTGTGTGTATACATATTTATTTATATCATTTATTTTATGTATGTATAAGCACACATAAGTGTGTGTGTATATGTATATATGTATATATATACATATACACACACACACATATATACACACTCATAAACATACATAGTTGAATAAAGCACTGCTGTTACTATTTTGAGCAGTTATTTGTTAGATCAATTAAGAAAAATAGGAGATTTTATTTTACCTTTACTTATTCCTTCTCCAGT